TGCTGGTGAATAGGGAGGGTCTTGTTGTTTAGCATCCTTGACCATTGCCAAATGAGAGCTTGTTGTCTTCTGATGTGGGGCGGTATGGTATTGCTAAGTATTGGTAACCAGTGCATAGGAGTGGGATGCAATGTGCCAGAGATGATATGCATTGTCTAGCATATCAACAATTTGAGTGGTGGTTATTATATTGTAAAATACAGTTCCAGAACTTCACTGAAGGCTGGTAATTTGCATATGTATTGCTGAGGTGGAAAGTGGCTACTTCTGTTTGTGTTAGGTTTGGTTAGGTTTGGATGATAAAACATCTGCAAGAAAACAACCAACCTCAGAAAGCACTAAGGACCCCTCTAAAATAAGTGAGCAAACAATTTGAGAATATCTGCTCCAGTTTTGAAAATCCTATTACAGTTTTGCCCAGTTATTATGAAGGAAATTGCCAGTGAAACCTATGCTTGTTATGCCTAACTCTTTGGAGGACTGAAGTACAGTACACACTTTTCAGTGCAATGAACTTTGCTGCTGAAACTGTATAGTCTTCCAGTTTCTTTCTGGGTGCAATTCAAGGTCTTGGTTGTCACCTTTGTAGCTCTATATGGCTATAAGACTACAGGACTAAGCACAAAAGTGGTTAACTTGGGAGGGTATTTGTGAATCCTGGCCTGAAAGAAGTAGCAGTAAATGGGGAACTTCTGGGGGAGGTATGACATACTAAAAGCAGCTCAGAGAAAGCGGAGCTAATGGCTTCAGTGAAGACCATTGACTAGTTCTTTGGAACCTTTCCAGATAAGGAGAGGATGAGAGATTACCCATATGTGTTCTGGATGGCTGCTCCCTGCTCCCAGGTATTGATGTCAGGCTGATTGGTTTTTAATTTCCTGGATTTGGTTCCCCCATCCTTTTTTTTTTTTTTAAAGATGGGAACCACATCAGCTCTTTTCCAGTCCTTAGATAGTTCTCCAGTGCTCCAAGACTTTGAAAAATAATCTTTCAATAGTTCTGAAATCACAACGGCCAGTTCCTTCAGAACTTTGGGATGTAGTCCATCAGGACCCGGTGATTTGAATCTGTCTAGAGATGAGAGGTGTTCCCTTATCTTATTTTTGCTTATCTTAATTTGCATTCCTAACTTGTCATGTTAGGTTCTGTTTTGGTAAGTTGAGTTGTGTTTTCTTTTTGCATGAAAACAAATGCAAAATATGGAGTAGTTCTGCTTTCTCTCTGTCGCCCATTATTCTTTGCCACCTTGTCCCATTAGTCCCATTTTTTCTTTGACTTTTTTTTTTTTCTCTGTGTTGAAAAAAAATCCCTGGCCTAAGACACAAACTGGCAGCTCCTAGAATATTGGTAAGGCACTGTTGTGGCAGCTTGAAGCCACTAGCATGTGGCTTTTGCTTTTTCCACTACCTGAAGTTTCTATTTGGAAGATTCTCTTGGTTGCTCCAGAATATAATTTGTGGGAGAAGAAAGAAGCATTTCCTATAGAACACTTAACATTTCTACCAGTAACATCACCAACTGCCAGTTTGTTTTAGTAGTTCAGGATAGAATCTTTTCTCTGTATGTAATAAATATTTTCTTTCTGTTTCTCAGACTAATGTATTGTGAACAATGTGGGTGTTTTGAATGAGTAAATAACCCTGAGCCCTTTACTTTCATGTCTTTGACAATGGAAGATTAACTAGATTTAGGTGATTTGCAATAAGTATTTTTCCTTTTTGTATCAGATAAAACAAGTCAGCAATTCTTAATTTTATAAAATATTGTTCCCTCATTGTTTCGTGGTAGGTACTTTGATGTGTTTTACTTTTCGTGTATTGAATTGATAAAAAGCTAGTGTGAAAACATTTCCATAAACTATTTGGAACATTCAGTTTTCCAATTTACGTAAGTGCAGAGGAAAAGGTGTGCACACCCTGGAAGAATTTGGCACCAGATTAGGGTTACCTACTTCCTTTATCTTTAAAAAAAATTACTAATTGGGTTAACCTTGATATGACTGTGGTCTTACTTTTTACAAAGCTGCCCTCGACATAAAGTCCTTTTAAAACATAGTTTAGCCTATCAAGAATGTTCATAACATTTTTTTTCTAATGAGAATTTTTATTAAGCTTGGTCTCCTGTGTATGAATTGGAACATTTAATTAAATAATGGATTTTTCCATAAAAAGTAACGTTTTGGTGTTGTTTTACTGAAGTGTTCTTTCTTTCAGAGATTCAACCTCAACATTTATATGTTTGATACTTTGAAGTAAGATAGCAAATCCAAACTGAAGCTATGCTAAATAGCAAGGATGGGCAACAGGGAAAGTACAAGGACTGTTATTCAATGTCAAGTGCCTTCTCAAAGCCAGTTTTACAGGCCTCAGAATGTAATAGAAAAATAACTATTGAAGAGTATTAATGCTTTTTAATTTTAATTGCATTTAAATGTAAATAAAAAGATTGCCTGGTAAGTCACTTACCAGTCAAATGCCCATAATCTAGAAATTGTGAGCCTTTGCATTACAACTTTTAGAAAAGTGAAGTACAACATCAGACTTCCCAGTATTATTTCTAGTGTTTTAGCAACAAATGTCTATTTGAGAAGGTGAGGCAAAGATAGATTGCTTAAAGTTGAATCTGATACACACACACACACAAAAAATGTGTTAAACTTCAGAGTATGCTATGGGAAGAATTTGAATTCTGTAAGTTGATCTTATCCAAGTGCCAGTAAGAAATGTACAAAAGTAGGTGTTCATAATATATTGTTCTAAAGTAGTTAAAATGCAGTGTGTTTATGTATTATTTCTATTTAGTCAAACTATATCAACAATAGATTTCCAGTATTTACATTCTTATTAGCTCAGTCTAACTTTTGGAATGACCTAATACATATCCCGTTCATTTGTTATAGAGTGTTTTCAATGGACGAAATTAGTCACTAGGAATATTCCCTGTTTATGCTGTTCAATTATCCATGTCTCTTACTAAGACCAGTAGGGAAATTTAACAGAAACAACCTAGCTCTCACTCCTCGATCAGAGGCTTGCAGCATTGAGTGTACAGTAGTGGCCAAAATTGTGGAAACCTTTTGGGAAAAGTGTATTTTTGAAGTTTGATGGGTAATAGCACTACTTTTTGGGGGAGTAGTACCATAAAATTATATATCAATGGAAAGATAATTTAATCAAGAATGTAATACAACAAAGTTTGTTCAATTATCTGTACTGTATTCTATGAAACGTTATAGCCAAATAACCAGAAAAAGGAAGCACAACTTGTTTAGGTTGATATCAGGTAGCTTTCCTTCATCTGATTGTAGCCAATGAGCATGAGTGTTTAAAGAGCCAATCAGGTGTAATCTTGTTTTGGCAATGAGCCAATCAGATCACAGTAGGATTTAGTTATTGATGTCATGTATTGAAGCTGAGAGGAGGACATTTGTCAATGTGTTATGTGATCGCTATCAAGTTGGTTGGGTTTTTTTTTCCCTTTCATTTAGTGAGCTTGTGAAACGTAATAAAATTAAAGTAATGGTGCAAAGAGTTGACTGGTTGCCCAGAAAGTGATGTAAAATAGTATTATTAAGTGAACAACGCTACAGTTATAAAGAAATTAGAAGAAAAATTGGTGGAAACTTAACCAAAAGTGGCATTTCTACTGTACACTTTTCCCAAAAGGTTTCTACAATTTTGGCCACTACTGTATGTTCACTATCCCAGAATTGGAGATAGAGTATAAGTTAGAGGAAACTAGAGTGTGTGGAGAATAACATGTGAGGATTAGATCTCTTCTAGACTCTTAACCAATAGTGCAGGTTCTCTTAATATTCAGTTTGGTTCTGTCTTCATCTGATTGGCTTTCTGATTTCTCTCTCTTGGCAATTTCTTCTCCTGAATTGGTTCCCTTGCTATCCTAGTAGATGATCTCATGTCATGATTGGTTAATAAATATTCTACAACATGTACCCACCTCAGTAGCAGACAGTTTCCAAGAACTACAATGCAATAACTTGCCAGTTGCTCCCTTTGCTTATTGTTTGAAAATTCTACAGCCTTTTTGTTATTTATTTTTAAACTACATCATATGACTTACTAGGTTTTTCAGCTTTTAAACTTAATAAATTTTTCTCTGGTTAATTAATGTTTTAATACAAATATTTGAACAATTAGAAAAATGCATAATTTTTCTAAATAATGGGGGAAATTCTCTAAACCATGGGAGAGTGAAGGCTTTCCTGAATGGTTAGAGATTTTAGCCTAGAATCAATTGGATCATGCGTTTAAAAAATAATCATAATCCACAACAATCCAAGAGTAGAATACCAGAAAGGTTACTCAACTTGTTCAAATTTAAACATCAAGAGTCAAGGAACAGCAGAAAGCAAAGGCATAGAAATGGAGATTTTAGGTTGGCATGTGGTTTTCAATGAAGGATAGGCCACCGTCAGCAGCTGTTTTTAAGTAGACTGGGTACAGATATGGTTTAGTTTTGGGTGTTGGAACCTTTGTGAGGTATAATCATACCTAACCACATTCTGATGGATGACTTCATGCAAATGGCTTCATGTAGATATTAAGAATGAGGAGAGGACATGAGCAGAGTGCTTATGCTTGACTTCCTGAAACTGTTGATGCACCCTGGAACTAGGTGGTCTGGCAGGTTCTGGCCCCTAATTGCCTGATTCCTCCTGTACCTGCTGAGTCTATCTCATGTGGCAATTTTCTGTCAACTCATGAGACTGGCGGCCTGGTGAATCAGGTTGCTCAGGTTCAGCCTCTAACTTTGAGTCTGAGGAATCTGTCCATAACAGTTTGTACAAATTATTCAACATTTTCCACAGGTAGCTTCCAGAAATGTATTTCACTTTTCCTCAGCAATGCTAAAAAGACTGTGTTGATAAATGCTACCTTTTGTGGCAGAAACTGTAGTGCTTCCTCTTTTGTATGCAGTGATGAACTTGAGTTGTGCTTCTTGTCTGGGCTTATGATAATGATATCCTTGTGTCACAACAGGTGGAAGTCAATGGGAGAAAATTTTGTGTGACCGGTGAATGGAATTTGGCTTCAGCAGTGTTATCTCTTCAAGTGGATAATGTCCAGAGAACTGTCCAGGTAAAATATTTTGCAGCTATTACTCTTTAAAATTTCTACACCATTTTAAATCTGGGAAGTCAGTGTTCGAGATTATAACTGCACATACTTAATTTGTACTTGGCAATGAAGGAATGCAAAGCTATAAACCACCCTTTCTGAGGCCTTCATACATTCAAATGGTCATTAAATGACCAATCAAGGACTACTTGTAGTTATAACAATTGAGTCATCTTAAAGAGCAACTTGATGTAGAGCACATTGTAATAATTCACATATGAGATGGCTAATGCATGAATAACAATGAACAGGGCCTCAGTCTTGCTAGAGGTTAAGCCTTAGCCTGTTACTGTCCCTCCAGATGCTCTTAGTCTCTAGTGATAAAACTTTGGTGACATTGCTTAGTTGGTCTAAAATTGAGATATGTAACTGATATTGTCAGTGTATGATAATACCTAACCACATTCTGATGGATGACTTCATGCAAACAGCTTCATTTAGATATTAAATAAGAATGAGAAGAAAGTCAAATCCTGAGATCCCCTATAAAGCTTAGACTTAGATTTAGATATTGAAAGTTACCAAGAAATCAAGTAGTTCAATGACAGATGTACTCCCCCATCCTGAATATATTATAGATCATCAACAAGCATGATCAAGGCTGTCACAATACAACGTCCAGTATTGAAACCTGCAGACAGGATGAAATTAACAGTTTATTTTAAATTGGAGAATTGGAGAAAATGTAACATCTCTCTCTCTCTACCTTGTTACCTTTACCCGCTCTCCTGTACACTGATCAAGCTTTTTATATATTTCTTGTACAAAGATAAACTTTAGGAAATCTAAGAAACAGTGACAAAAGAAATATTCCAATGAGAGTTTGTCAGTCAAGGCAATCAGGGACAATGCTAGACACAATGATTCACAAGATTTCTTGAAGTATAAGTACTTAACAACAAGAAAAATTTCAAACAACGTACGTGTGTATTTAGGCATTGTAGGAGAAAAGCTCCGTTGGTCTACTTTGACAGAGAATCAGGAGGTGTCTTTTAATCATTTTTTTAAAAAGGCATATACATTTTGGGAGCTGCAGCTTACTTCATCAAATGGCCATGAATAAAATAAGGAAAAATGAGAAGAACCCTTTCTTCCTAAATGCAAACATAAAAGTAATTTAAAAAAAATAATTAGTTTTAATCATCTCCATTTTAATGCTGTTTTTTCTATTTGTGAGCAATTAGTTAAGCTGTAGAATAGTTAAGTATGGGTAGTTTTACACCCATGCCATAGTTCTCACTTTGAATCAGGCCAAGGAGAATGTCCTCCAACTGTATATTTAGGGATTGAAATTGCCTAGGCATATAGCAGATCCATAGAGGGTGAAGGAGCTAGTTGGAAATATATTCTTGAGAAGAGATATTACATCTAATTGAATATCTTTAAACCATTGCCTTAAGGCTGCTTGGGTGCTCATGTTTAACTGCACAGAGCTGAGTTAAAGAATATCAAAGGATCTCCAATTTTTAATCTTTTGCTTTAGACCAGAATGAAACTTTATTGTTAAGGATCTGAGGTGTCAGACATACAGGATCAAAATATATTGTGGCTCTGCATATAAAAATGTGCAACCAAATGGATTCTACTTGTGAAGAGTGAAGTATCATGTTTGAGATACAGCAAGGATCTTGGAATGTGTATCTAAGAGATTTAGTCTGAACTCTTTCAGGAAAGAAAAAGCTGTATGGGTAAACTGGTGTCTGAATAACAGCTCTACTCTAACTTTGGCTAAGTACAGTAGGCATACAGCAGAGATAAATAAGGTCCCTTTAGTTAGTATAAGACAGTGGTTCTCAACCTGTGGGTCGGGACCCCATTTGGGATCGAACGACCATTTCACGGGGGTCGCCAAACAACGCAGTCCGCCATTTTTCCCCTTTTCCTTAGCTGTGCTACTCCCTTTTATTCTATTGGCTTTTGAAAGCCAATAGAATAGACTCTCTTGAATAGAGTCTAATTCTATTGGCTTTCAAAAGCCAATAGGAATTGTCCAGGCTGTCTCTGCCCTGCTGAGCCCGCCAAAAGTCCCATTCTGCAAACGGTGCTGCACCAGTTGAGTAGTCCTCGACTTACGACCGGTTGAGTAGTCCTCGACTTACGACCGGTTGGGGGTCGCAGCATTAAAAAGGTTGAGAACCACTGGTATAGGAGGATGATTGCAGTGCTGCAGCAGCTCTCTGGGCTTTTATGCTACATATTCCCTGGGCATTTCATGTGAAAAGACTGTACTTGGGGATTTAAATGATTTAACCTGCTCAATAGAATAATTTTTTTTAACACCCAAATATGCCTTTTGGCTGTTTGGCAAATACTGCCCATTTGGATAAAAGTTCTAAGATACTGTAGCTTCAGAACTGAATATGACAATTCACAATCTCCGTTTTCCCTCTCTCTCTTTGTGTCAGTGTCCAAAGTAAAGTTATAATCGTGTTTTATCCCATTTTGTCTAATGTTTAGTTGTTCTATGTACAACAGCCTGCACAATGTACAGATACAGTTACAATACAATGAGTTTTAAAAACATTTGATGTAATATGGAGCTTGTGGAAAAGGATACTTTTCCAAAGTTCTAGAAAATGCACTTTCAAAAATCCATTGAGAGGATATAAGACACTTTTAGAGTATTCTAAATATTGAGTAACCTTGTGTAAATGAAGATTGACTGGAAAAATTATTTAACTCTAAACATTTACATGTTTTATATTTATAAGACCACTGAACTTACTGATTTCTATACTCTACATGGGAAATTAAACTGAAATTTACTTCTTATTGAAAAATTGTGTAACATATTGTGTCGCAGTGAGATGGGTAGCAAATAAATTTAATAAATAATAAATAACATTGTCTATCTGGTTTGCTGAAGGAGAAGAGGTTGTCTCAGTAGCCCCAATCTATGGGGTATCGGAGAGCGTGGTCTTGTCTCCCTGCTTTTTAACATCTATGTGAAGCCACAGGATCATGGGATGGTTTGGGGAGTGGTATCATCAGTCTGCTGATGACACCCACTTATACGTCATTATTTCGAGACACGGGGGATATGACACTGACACACAGGATGGAAGTTAGAACCTTGGAAGTTAGAATTGCTTTTGGCAGCTTGAATTATTGTTAATGTCCTGACGGTAAGCATTAACTGTCAGGGAGCAGGTTTGTAACTTAGGGGTCTTTCTGGAATTAACAGCTTCTACAGGAGCAGCAGATGGAAGTTGTGGCCAAACTCTAACTGGTGTGCCAGTTGAAGCTTTACCTGTGGCAGGAGTACTTGCTAACGGTAACTCACCTGGCTAGACTACTATAATAAGGCATACTTAGAGATGCCCTTAAAGAATATTTCTTCAAAAAGCAGTGGCCTGCACACTTTTGGGCTCCTGCCTTTGGTAGCACAAAAGAATGATTTTGCTGTCCCTGTATTTAGTTTGTGGTTCCAATTTAAGGTGCTGGTTTTGATCAGAATAGAATAGAATAGAATAGAATAGAATAGAATAGAATAGAATAGAATAGAATAGAATAGAATAGAATAGAATAGAATCTGAAAGGGACCTTGGAGATCTTCTAGTCCAGCCCCCTGTTCAACCAGGAGAATCTGTACCATCTCAGATAGGTGATTGTCTAGTCTCTTCTTTAAAATCTCCAGTGATGGAGTGCCCACGATTTCTGGAGGCAAGCTGTTCCACTGGTTGATTGTCCTTACTGTCAGAAAGTTTCTCCTTAATTCCAGGTTGCTTCTCTCTTTGATCAGTTTCCAACCATTGTTTCTCATCCTTCCCTCTGGTGCTCTGGTAAACAACGTGACCCCCTTTTCCTTGTGGCAGGCCCTCAGATACTGGAGTACTGCTATCATGTCTCCCCTATTTCTTCTTTTCTTTACACTAGCCAAACCCATGTTCCGCAGCCGTTCTTCGTATGTTTTAATCTCCAGGCCTTTGATCATCTAAGTTGCTCTTCTCTGAATTTTTTCCAAACTTTCGACATCTTTTTTGTGATATGGGGACCAAAATTGGCTGCAATATTCTAAGTGTGGTCTTACTAGGGTTTTATAAAGTGGTACTAATACTTCATGTGATCTTTATTCTATGCCTCTGTTCATACAACCCAGGATTGTATTAGGTTTTTTGGTTGCTGTTGCACACTGCTGGCTCATGGTCTAGTGATCATCCACTAGGACTCCAAGGTCCCTCTCACAGTTACTGTTTTTAAGCCTGGTCTCGCCCAATCTGTATTTGTACCTGTGATTTTTCCTGCCTAAATGTAAAACTTTGCTTTTCTCCACATTGAAACTCATTTTGTTGGATAGGGCCCATTGTTCAAGTTTGTCTAGATCTTTTTGGATCCTGAGTTTGTCTTCTGGGGTGTTGGCTACTCCTGTCAGTTTGGTGTCATCTGCAAATTTGATAAGTTCCCCTTCAATTCCCTCATCTAAGTCATTTATGAAGATGTTGAAGAGTACTGGGCCTAAGACAGAAGGACTTGGCACATTTCCATCAACTAGTTAGATTTAATTGGGCTGAAACTGTTACAAAGCCCACACTTTCAGGAGATTCAGGGGCTGAAGCAAGAAGGTGCTGTTTTCCATGGTAACACCAACACTGTGGAGTAATTTTCTTGTGGAGAGCAGCGTTATCTCCTTTCAAAAGCCCTAGAAAACTGAGCTACTTTAGAGAGCCTTTTTCCATTTTGATGTGACGTTGCCATCATTTATTTTTTATGGTGGTATCACTAGACAACCCATGATACCTTGGCTCATTGTTTCAGAGATACTTCTTTATCAAATTCTTCAGTGCCTTCAACAATTGCAGAGCTACTAATGCACTTTTAAAAATTCAGGCAGCTATTCAAAGATGTATCTGCCTTGAAAGTAGCCCATGTTGAAGTGTATATCACAGGCAAACATCAGCAATTGACCAAAGGAAATGTTTTAAGATGTTTTGTATTATAAAATGCTTTATGATCATTTTTATCTCATAAAATTTGCCACATTTCAACTCCACTGGAGTCATGGATCCCAGATTTTTGAGACGTTTTTTAAATTAGCCAGTTTGAGATACCTTGGTTCAGAAATAATGCAGCGTTCAGCTAGTTAAAGGTTCCAGTCATGGAAGTTTAGTAGCATACAGATTGTATTGCTGTGGATTTTCAGTTTTTGTATTAGGTATGTTTTATATCGTATTTTTTCCTATGTAAGCTATTGAGAGTTTATTATCATTGTGGTGGCATAAAGTATATTTAATAAATAAATAATTTTATAATTTCTTTATCTTTAAAATAAAAGGACTAGATATATTATGTTTTAAAAGAAAAACATTTACATTCAGATGCATTTTGCAATCTATGTCCTACTATATAATGCATGTACAAGACAAGATAGAAAGACCTGCACGTGGATTAGAGAACAAATGAAAGTATATAATGCCATCAAACGAGTAAAAGAACTGAAATGGAAATGGGCTGGTCATATAGCAAGAAGAACTGATGGCAGGTGGACCAAGGCAGTCCTAGAATGGATCCCACTTGATCAAAAGCGTCCATGAAAGAGACCTAAAGCAAGATGGATCAATGACATCAGCAAGTATTAAGGGCCCAATTGGCAAAAGAAAGGCTCAGAACTGTATTGGTTGGAAACATGAGGAAGAGGCCTTCATCCTGCATACTGGAATCTGACTCAGAAAATAACACACTATAGTACTTACATACAATATTCAGGTTCTGTCCTTTTTTCTCACATATTGATACATAAAACACCCACATCAACTATTCATGTAGTGGATTTTTTCCTGGTACTGTAATATGTTATTCTCCAGCATAGAAGCTGTTAAGATAAAGAGCACTCATTTTTTAAAAAATGAAAGAATATTCTTCAGTTAACTAGTTTTGACAACCTCCTGATTAGTCTGTATCTGTTTGTTTTGGCTCAGAAATTCTTCATTGTAGGCCCTGGTACTTTGTTCTTCTTTACAGTTTCCGAAGTACGATTGTGTTTCCTCTAGCAGTTGGGAAAACTGTATATTCCTGTTTCCTTTATAAATGTAAATGTCAGGATTTTTGTATGATTTTTCCCATATTTTCCATTTTATTAATAATTTTTGCTGAAATATGTCCAGGCTTGATTCATTCCCTTTTGTTTTCCTATGAACAGACTGGAGGGCTAAAACATGATGTATTAATTGAAGGGAAAGAAAAAAAGAAAAAGCAATATTGTTGTTTTTATTTAAAATGCAATCATAATTGTTTAGGAGAGAAATGCTTCCAATTATTATTCCTTTCATGAAGCTTTTTAAAAATTAGGTAATAATGACAAAATTATCTTAAAGTATATAGTGTATGTGTATATACATATACATATACACACACAGACGTGTGTGTGTGTGCACCTGTGTCATCCTGCTATTCTTTTTGTATCCCTTATTCAGCTGAGTGTAAAATAGCCATTTTGACCAAACTAAATAAAGGCAAAGGGTAGACCTGATTTGTTTGTTTGTTTATTTGTTTATGTGTTTTGGCAACTGATTCTTGGCAACTACTTAAACAAGTCCTGATAGTTTTCTTAGCAAGATTTGTGGAAGTGGTTTGCCCTTGCCTTCTTCCTAGGGCTAAGAGAAGATAATGGCCCAAGGTGCCCACCTGGCTTTTGTGCCTAAGGCAGGACTAGATTTTAATCTGGTTTCCCAATTTTAATCTTCTCCTTGGTAGTTGTTTCATTTGGATATTGTTTTCTACCTGTTTCTTTGACAGTGTATGTTATAAATGACTCTTCTTAAGCAGAAGTCATTTACAAGACTACTTAGCCCCAAAGAGTATCTATAAGGCTACTTAGTCGAAGAAGAAAAACAGGATCTATAACATAATATGTAAGGACGGTAACAGACACTGTTTAGAACAGACAGGCAGAAGACTAGCAGAGTGCTTCCATGAACACCAATTAGCAGTCACAACATATGGACAAACTAAACCTCATAACTATTAACATCAAATAAAAAAATGCTAAGGAATACTTAGAAGCTTGGCATTCAGACAAACCAGCCATCAAGACCCATAGAGATAAAGCACATTTAGATGATATTCAAATGAGTCAATAAAAAACTAAGAACAATTCCCAGTAGCCAACATCTAGATTAGCAGGCAAATAATCAAGCAGAAAACACTATGCAAATCGAGGGACTACTGAGAAGAAAACCACACTCCATTTAATATTGGCAGGGGAAATTACTGCATATAAACAGAGAGGAAAACCCACAATTATTTATACTGATGATGTTACTTAGTTGAGTAATGAAATGTCTGCAAACAAAAATCCAAGCTCAGAGAGTGCTAAGGACTCTGCAATTCAACCTGAGTTACATATATTCTCTTCTATTGGAAGCAAAGCAGTGTTTGATTCTGTAGAAGTTGTAGCATTTCACACAAACATAAGCAAAGACAATATTGAATCACTATCAATAGGGCTTGTGAGAGGCTGGGGGATAAAAATGGTAGAAGTGGTCTAAAGATCACTTACCCCAAATCTGTGCATCTGCTGAGGCAAGCTGTAGCTCTCCAAAGCATATGCTTTTTAATTAAATTTGGTAGTTGGAAAAGATGCTACCAGATGCCTTCTGATTTTTTTTTATCATCATAGAATAACATGGCTCTTCTCATACAATGTCCCAAATCATTAAGTATGTTTTATGGTTGAATGGAGATTGAGATCTATGGCACAAGCCAAACATTAACCCACTGTTCTGAGCTCAAAGAAATTTGTTGCAGAGCTCTGTGTAAGTGGAAATAAGGCAAATAGACAAAATTTACAAAAATGCAAGACAAAGAGAAAAAAATTAGTAGGAGTCTCTGACAATATTTGGATATTTAGGATTTCTATTTTATTTGATCAGTTAATGATGGAAAGAGAATTGATTATAGTCAATTCTGATTAGTTGACCGATTATAGTCCATTTCTGAAAGGTATTAAATCCGGTGTCCATTCCATTCAGCTGTGAAAATACTATCGAACATTAATATGACTGTTATTTTCCTGTATGACATACATTTCTGCTTTAAACATGACTTTCATTGAATGTGATCTGTGTATATGTGTCAGGTTTCATAAGCAATTTGTCAGAATTCTTAGGGAGAAAATTTCTTGCTGATAAGACTATACTCTCATTGTTATTCTGTTTCTTCCAGTGGCTTTCTCGAGATGCTGATGGAAATCTTAGTATTCAGTTTCTTGGAACAGTGGTGAGTAATGCTAAACTTTACCAGCTATTCACAGACATTTTATAAAAATTTAACATAGTTTTCATTTCACATTTTATACAAATTTAACGTACTTTGTTTATTTCACATTTTTGTGTTATCTAGTTATGAATGAATATGTATTTTGATTAAAAGGGGAAAAACTTTTTCTCCATATTTTGAGCATTTTTCCTTTCCCACCTTTGCCTAAACTATAATAACACCTATTAGGTTCTCTCTCTTTCTCTCTCTGTCTCCCCTCCCTCCCTCCCTCCCTCCCTCCCTCCCTCCCTCCCTCAGATGATTATATAAGATGGCTAAGGCAGTGTCCTCAACCTTTGTGGCTTGGCAACCTGGTGGAGGGGGGAGGGAAAGGGGAACCAGGCCTTATGAGCAGTGGTCCGGTGTGCACGTGTGCACAGCTCAATGTGAGCGAGCAATGCAGCCCGGTTGCGAATTGGCCATGACCCAGTAGTGGGCTGTGGCACGGGTGTTGGGGATCCCTGGGCTAAGGGAAAGAAATATGCATCTGGGGAGTAGCTACGCAGCTCACTGGTTGATAAGCAATGAATCTGCAAACATTTAGAGGCAAGTAAAGTTACAGGTAGTTCTCGACTTACAACAGTTTGTTTAGTGACCGAAGTTACAATAGCACTGAAAAAAATGACTTATGAGCATTTTTCACACTTATGACCGTTGTAGCATCTCATAGTCACATGATCAAAAATTAAATGCTTGCCAACTGATTTATATTTATGATGGTTGCAGTGTCTCGGGATCATATGATCACCTTTTGCAACTTTTGATAAGCAAGACCAATGGAGAAGCCAGATTCACTTAACAACTGTGTTACTAACATAACAACTGCAGTGATTCAAATTCACTTAACAAATATCTCACTTAGCAACAGGAATTTGGGGCTCAATTGTGGTTGTAGGTCAATCCAGATGGATTCATAACTGGCTGACCAACCTCATTCAACATGTAGTCCTTAATGGAACTACATCTACATGGAGGGAACTAGGCAGTGGAGTACTTCAAGGTTCTGTCTTAAGCCTAGTACTCCTCAACATATTCATAAACAATTTGGATAAGAGGAAAGAGCAGGAACTCATCAGATTTGCAGATGACAACAAGCTGCTCATGAAAATGCTCATGAAAATAGGGGTGACATGATAGCAGTCTCCCATTATCTAAGGGGCTAGCACAAAGAAGAGGGGATCAACCTGTTTTCCAAAGCATCTGAAGCAGGACAAGGTTTTTAAGAAGAGATTGGAAAGCCTATTGTCTGAAATGGAATAGGTCTCCTGTTCAAGCAGAGGGTTGGACTAGAAGATCTCCAATGTCCCTGCCAACTCTGTTATTCTGAATATCAACTGGCCTGTGTCTGACTTGAATTCTCAGCTGAGAGGAAGCAACTTCTTATTTTCAACAGAATCACAATCAGACAATAGTTTGTGCATGGCTTTATTCTTTGTGTGTATGTATACATTACATATGAAATACATTTCTACCTGCTGTTGTCATGGGAAAAAGTAAAAGAAGTGGGAAATCTAAGGATAAGTTGCTAACTAATGTTAGAATCTAAATAATAACAAAATTTAAAGTTTAGTCAGATGCTTATCTCGGAATATAATAAATCTTTAAACCCAGAATAGTGATAAATAGGATTTTTGATAGAATAGACTAATAGTGAAAACTCCAAAATGGGTCACAGCAGATGATAAAAAGAACCATCACAAACATTTCTAGGTAGTACCAATTTATGATAGTATCAGGAAAACTGAAACTCAGAAAGGTAGCAAATGATGCTAAGAACAAAAAACAAGATCAATTAAAAATAGAAGAAGAGCAAACAGGAAAAAAAATGACAAGAAGTTGTGTATTTTGAGGAATTATTTATCAAATTGCATGAGATGAAAGGATAATCTTCTGAATAGCTCTGGATTGTAATAGTTTTGGGTGGTTGGCTAACTGCTTTCTGGTGAGTATGCAGAGTTGTTAGGCGCTTATAAGGAAGGCAAGTTTTAAAGGGTTATTGAGTTTAAAGGGTCTTGAGAACTGAGAAATGAACAAGAAGAAATAAAACCCTTTTCTATTGGTAGTCTCTGAGAAGAAAAAGTGAAGAACAGATATGCATCTGTACCTTTAGTACATACTACATGGTAAGTTTGTCTTTGTGTTTCAAAAGAACAGCACATATTATACCAAATACAAACCTCATAGCTGTCCTTAAAGAAAAAGTGAAAGGAATGGAGTAATGTATGGCCACATTTCAAATGGTGAGAAAAGACATTTATCAGCTCAAAGACAGGACAGAAACAACAGAAACCAGCAGTGGAAGCAACTATTTATGAGGAGGACAAATAAAGGAATAAGAGCAAGCATCAAAAGCAAGAGATGTAGAAGATTCTGCTAGAAATAATAAATAGATTTGAGACCTTGCAAATAAAATGGGTTGTGATCATTCAAGGAAAGAAAAGAGACACAGCAGAACAGAAACATAACAGTAGTGGATTCTTCAAGAGAAGACAGGATGCATCTTTGCCCTTTAAGAAGAGAAAGAAAAAAGTCGTGATAATTGGTGACTCACTACTATGAGAAATTCAGACAAATGTATGCTGTCTAGCCATGTCAGCTTGCGAAGTGGCTGTCTGCCAGAAACAAGGATCAAAGATGTGACAGAACAAATTTCAAGAATTTTAAGTCCAGAAAGATACAGTTTTGTTAATATCTGCAAGAACAGATTGTCATGCATAATAAATACATGCTTTCAGCTTCCTCCTCCTCCTCCTCCTCCTCTTCCATCTCCATCTCCATCTACAACAAGAAGCACTGGATGGGGTGGATATCCATACAACCCACTAAAGAACTGGCACACATACAAACAGACACAATTCTAAATTAAGTGGAAATACTATGACATCATTTCTAAAAGACTGAAAATGAAGAATCCTCTACAATTTACATATTGCACTGACTGCAGCCAAAGATGATGTTTCCAGTAAAGGAGAATATTCATAGCTCGGGGTTGACATGAAGTCCTTGGTGCTCTATGAGCTTGGTTGTTTTCTTGCAGATGTGTCATTACCCAAACTAGGTAATATCATCAGTGCTAGTTCTAAGGCTAGGCTAAGATGACGTTATATCAGTCTGTTTCTTTACTCATTGTAACAATAGGAGTATCAGTTTTCATGGACTGTACTCAGATGTCACTTACATAAAATACATCACAGACCTCCTAAGAAAACTTATAATTTCCCTAACATTTTATCCACTATGGATATTGAAAGCACTAAATCCCAACATACCTCACAAACACAGACCTAAAGCCATTATTTCTTTCAAAACAGCACTGTCTGCCAACACACTGTATATCTTTCTATCCACCAGTAACTATATCATCATTGGCAATAACTGACTCAGCCATGGGCACACATATGCCAATATCTTCATGGATGTAGAGTTTAGAGACAATGGCCTTGACATCCCCCTCTCAGTTCCCTGAGGCAATCAAGCCAAATAAAGTTTTCTTAAGTTTATACAAAGATGAGAGATTTAAAAAACCCTTAAGGCAGGTGCTCCCCTAATTCACATACAGCTAAAAGAGATAGGAGGGGAGGCATACATTAGACTTGCAAGATTCTGTTATTATACAGGTAGTCCTCAACTAGTGACTTATGACCATTTTCCACACTTATGACCATTTCAGCCTCCCCATGTCACAGAATCAAAATTGGCAACTGATTCATATGTGTCCCAGTATCGGATGACAACCTTTTGTGACCTTCTGACAAGCAAAGTCAATGGGGAAGCCAGATTCACTTAACAACCTTGTTACTAACTTAACGACTGCAGTGATTCACTTAACAACTGTGAGAAGAAAGGTCATGAAATGGGGTGAAACTCACTTAACAAATGTCTCACTTAGCAACATAAGTTTTGGACTCAATTGTAGTCGTAAGTCAAGGACTATTTGTATTCATTCTAATAAAATTAGTTTTAAGCCAACATGTCTTGGTTCTTGATCTGATCTCCCTTATGGGGTTGACAGTGATTGACCTAGAACAGCACTTAACTTATACCCCTTGAAGCCTCTTCTTTACATGAGATACAGCTGTTTTTTACTTGGATTGTGGAAATAAATCATCAAATTCTATCCTGACCTCAACAGTTTCCATTCTATTATCAGCTTCATCCTAGACCTCTCAACCTCTTGTCTGCTATTGCTGTAGCTCTGGAATCTGAGGTCTTGGCTAGAGTATTCCAGAGCCCAAGAAAATTTTTGATAAAGAAGAATAACTCAGATTAATGTCAAACACCAGGAAATCAGGAGAATCAGGCACGTCAAATGAGTATAAAGATTTATTACAAGTCCAAGCATTCTACAAGAATCTGAGCTACTAACAGCCAAGGAAAATTATCGGGAGATAAAAAAAGAATTCAAGATTGGCTGAACTAAGAGCTCTTGGGGGCGTGCAGGGACTCATGACTAATGATGTATTTGAACCCTCCCTTGGGCTCAGCCTGGTCATCTCCTATACTACAGCCCATATTGGACAGTGACATTGAACTTTCTCAGGGATTCAACGTGACAAATTTGCAAATAATTAACCACTCAGCCCGAACCAGATTCTCATAAGCAACAACAGCAACAAAGGACTGCAATAAAGCAATTTATACAATAAGACACTAATGCCAACATAGGAACCAGATTTTTCTACTTTGCCCTGGTATCAACAGCACCATCATCATTACAGGCCCCCAAAAGTACAACCATAAGATTAGAGGTGCTTTCCTCCAATGTGATAGGTGCCACCATCTGTCAGCTATGCTGCTCTGGATTCTGTATGGGGAAAAAGGGATAAACTTTGTGCAGAAGAATTAATCAACACAAATTTTAATATCAGGACTTAAAATAAGGACAAAGCAATATTAGAGCATTTCAAGCTCCCAGGACACTCTATAATAGTAGTGTGCTTCTTTGGAAAAATATGACTTCA